CTCAAAAGGATAAAGTGAGTATGTGAATGATGTATGTATTTCTTGCCAATAAAAAAAACAAACATTCCCCGTAAGGAGGAAACGGTACAAAAATAATGAAGGTGGGCTCATTGGAGGCTATGCTGCAACTCTTCCTCCAAGGCTGTGCAATTGCTAATGGTCACTCGTGATTTTTACTTTGACATTGTTGCATTCCCGTTGAAATTGTTTGAAATTGTAGGTTGTTGCTGTTTTAGTTGATGCCTTTGGAGAGTGTTCCACAGGCTTGTTTTGTGTCCTTTGGACTATGTACATACTCTTTTTTATTTATATAAGCTTACCCTTCAAGAACGAAAAAAGAAAAGAAAAGAAGAGATATTATATTTAACAAGGCAGATTTGGGTTGGGTAGGGATGAGAATAAGTCGATGATTTTGGAGTCCATTTGGACCGTTAAAATAGTCAAACAGGAGGGTTGACACAATTTTTTTCAAGATAATTTCGATGAGTCTGTTTTGACTAGAAAATACAGTAATTTTATCATAAACAACCTAACTCGTAAAAATCAGCAGCTTTGTTGTTGAGATAAAACACCTTTTGCGGCTGAGTTGAATCGTTTATGCTCTATTTGGTAGGAAAAAAAAAAATTGAATAGAAGGGAGAGAAAAATGGATGGATAACACATCCATAGAGAGGAGATTGTGTATTTCTTTCCTTTTGTTGTATTGGAGAGCATAAACCTCATAATTTACTATATTGTTAGGAGAGAAAGAAAAAAAAAGTTTTAATTGTTTTTACTATTATATCTAATAATATTTATAATATTGTAATTAATAGAGGATAGTACTGTAATTTAAAACTTGTATAATTTAGGATACTATTTAATTTAAAACTTGTAGAATAGCCCACTTGTCTTCCTTTCTTTCTTCTGCCCATTTTTGAGCGGATAAAAATTTATAAAGGAGGAAGGATGACCCATCTTTCCTCCTTTCTCTCCTTGTATATCTATCATCTCTACCGAATAAAGGAATTTAATTTATTAATTCCTTCCTATTTTCTCTCCACAACTTTTCCTTTCTTCCTACTGAACACGGCATTATGGGTTGGAATTACGTTTTTTCAATTTTGAATATTTCTTTACTTTTTAGTATGTATTTCTTAGCAATTAGGTTTCTTACTTTATTTTTACAGCAATTTTGATTTTTGATTAGTTTCCTTATGTTTTTAGGGTTTGTTATGGTGATTATGATTTATATTTATAAATACATGTATTGTATAGTAGATCACTCATTCAATTATTATTAATATTTTAAATTTTTTTGCAAATTTTGTTCAACTTTGTGGAATATTCAAAGTTACTCTATTTTGTGGATTCAAAGTAACCATTGTTTCTTGTGAACAATTCACAGTTTTTCGCTAATGAAAATTAAGCACTAAAAATTTCAAATACTGAATTTTAAGCGATTTCAAATACTAAATTTTAAGTACTGAAATTTTAAGTGTTAAATGTAATAATTTGAAAATGTTTTAATTTTAAGCGTTAAATTCATTAAGATTGTTTGTTAATTACAAAAGCTTAAGACTGAAGTTCTATAGATTACATTTGTGCCCTCAATATCTAGTACTCATAACAGTTTATATTTATAATATATTTTTTTTAATAAAACAACCAATTTCACTCGATGAAATATATCAATTTAACAATGAATATTAATGTCAAATCTAATCATAAAAATATATCAATTCAAACTTAAAAAATAAAAATTATTCTTTCTTTTTTTTTTTCTTTCTCCTAATTGATACTCACACACCACCCTCCAAGGAATTATTTGCACCTAGTAGGATAATAAACATCATTCAAGTAGTACTGATTAACATAATTTTAAACGTGAATGTCTCAAAACTGTTTAATTAAGCTAAACATATAAATTTTAAGCTCGAGAACTAAACAAAATATTTGCAATTTGGTCATGCAAATTAATCATAAATACTTGGATATATTAGATTGTCTTTATGTGGTGTGAATTTCAAAGTATGTCAAAATTTCAGGAATATTAGGTAAAGACTCAAATTGCAAATCCTCAATCTCACATTGTTCTTAAAGTTCATCCCTAGCGACAGTATTGAGTTAGGGTATGCCCAAGCCTTATATCTTTTGGTCTTGTTTTCAGTACTCTCATTGACATCATATGACCACGCTATCATTGTTGTGACGTTCCATATTTTTCTGTATTTCTAAGATTTCTCGTATTTATTTTCTTTGACGCCTCATTTTGCATGTCAATCATCGATTGGCGTGCCATGTGGGTTTTGGAGCATATTTAGGCCATTTCTTTGAGTTTATAACTCTTAGAAATGCATTTCGGTTTATTTTTTAATTTTTTTTTTTTTTAGAGAGCCTGGAGGTCCTATGTGGGCCCATGCTGGAATTTTTCGTGCTCGGGTAATATTTTTGAGTCCATGTACATTTCATATTTATTATATGGTGCATATATGTGTGTTTATATGTTTAAGTGCACATTTGTGGCATATTATTTGGTGTAATTACATACAAGGGGTTTTATAGGCATTTTAAGGGTTAAATGATAGTTAGGGTTTGTTTAAATTGAAATTCATGTTAAATTGTCAAACCATGTTTGTCTACTTGTTGAGTTTTTGGATAAATGTGGATTATTTGCAATAAATGGTGGCATATGATGAATGACATGAATTAAGTATGCTAAATATAGTGATATGCTATGTGATAACATGCTAGTTGATTAAGTTTTATTTTTTATTGATGTGCAATATAGTATCAATTAAGTCCTTATTATGATCATGAATTATTTTCAATATTGAGAAAGCATGTTGATAAGTGAATGGTTTGAGATTTCATGCATTCATCTACATAACATTGATGATGTTTCATGAGTACATGAGGTGAGTGTGTTGAGATGTATGTGTGGGATTATAAAAAGATAAAAATGTGAATTTGATAAGTTTTAGGAAAAAAGTTTTTCTCAAACCTGGTAGTTGGGGAGGTACCCCTTTACAGGCAATGTTAGCTAGTTAACAGGGACACGGGAGGTACCCGTGAGTAATTTAGCGACCTCGGGTCCCAAATGGTAGTTGGGAGGTACCTTTTGTTAGGGAGGACTAGCAAATTCTCCATAAGGACGACATGATGTACCCAAAGTCTAGCTAGTTAGCACGTTTTCGGTGTGGGTGTGTGGATATGTGAGGGTGTGTGTGTGGTATACAGTTGCGTGGTGCATTTCGTGTATTTCATTGCATGTGGTTGATGATGATGGTTATTTGATGTTGAAACGATGTATGTAAAACCCAAGCATAATCCCTCTATTTTATCTCTATTCTTTGTGTGTAAAGCATGCCTTTGGTTATTTTGATTGAGGAGATGCCAGTCGTTGTGTTCACTCTATATTTAACATTTTTCAAGTCATAGAAAATAAGTAATGGATGATATTCCTCCACAAGATTAGATGGGGCTAGAGAGATCGTTTTTTACATCCCTTGTAATCAAATTCTATTTTTGCAAAGCCTTGGCAAATGACATATATTTGCTTTGTAATTTGTGGCATTGTCAACGTAACCTTATTCTTTTGGACATGTTTATGTATAATTTGGATTTGTATATGATGAAAATGGAATCATTTTGTTTAATGTTAAGGACGAATGATGAATGAGGGATTATGTTTCAACTAAAGGGTGTATTTTGATTAAGATCTATACCTATCAATGTAAATGGTGTTCATTTGGTGTATTTCATCTTTAAGATAAGTTTCGGATCATTTCGGAACTCGTGTAATTGACAAAGGTGGAGTCCATAGCCATTTCACCTTGAAAATGACCCATTTTTCAGCTCCTATGGTGTTTCGGCCAGCTGGTGATATAAGCCAGCCGACCGACAGTGTATTTTGGGCTTGGATAGAACCTTAGGAACCTAGAGTATCGTTTCAGCCGACTGATAATCATTATCAGCCGATTGATCCTTGAGTTTCAGCCGACCGACACAAGTTTCAACCAACTGAAACTTTTAGCTCACCTGTAGTCTTGATCCGAATTTAACTAGTCATATCTCCTTTATTTTAACTCCAAATTGAATCAAATTTGAGTTCAATTTCAAGAATTTTGAGTCAGTTTTCCAATGGTACCAACCTTATCCAAAATTTGCAATTGTAGAGGAAGTTATGACTATTTTAATGCGGACTATTCCGAAAATCTTCTTAACCAAAAAAGGCCAATTATGTGAAAACATTGTTCTTGCATCTAGAATCTTACGAAATGAGTTTCTAAGGCCATGATGACTTAGATAGACTTCCTTTGACTCATTTAGAGTTAACCCACTTCTCTCTTTTACCTTGAAATGACTATTTTGCCCTTGTGTGTGCCCTCGGGTTCGGGTAAGGACCTGGTTAGCATTTCAGATCCTGGATTTGGGTCGTTACAATTGTACTCTATTGTCTATTTTATATCAATAAAATTTAAACCCATTCAAGAAAAAAAAACCCTTTCATATTCTTGCCATCCTAAACAACATATAGGATTTTAGATTCATTTCCCACCATTCATGAACCATGCTCAATCTTCACTTTGAAATTTGTCTTGTTGCCACTACAAGAAATCAGGCTATTAGGGACAGTTTTTTAGTGACACACTAAAAAACTGTCACTAAAGGTCCTATTATTAGGGACAATCACATATTACTGTCACTAAAGATCCTAATATTAGGGACAGACACATGTTACCGTCACTAGTACCCAGCCTTTAGGGACGGTAAATTTGACCTGTCACCAGATCCCTTTTGACCGTCACCATATCCCTAATAATTGGCGGTCGAAATTTTCTGGCGGCAAAATTTAGGCGCTAGAAATTTTTGTTGTGTTTTGGTTGGGTGAGAAAATGCACGTGGCGGCATCAGGACCATACACACAAGCACACAATGATTTATTATTATTATTATTATTTTTAATTTTTTGAGCAAACATTAAATGGGTATATTAAACTACGTCGTTTAATATACGTTTTGTACAATTCCAAACACTTTCATTATTCTTCATCCATTTTATGTTCTTCGGAGAGTTTCCAGGTGCTAGGGCTTGGTTCCACAGATAACCCCACGTTCGATTCGTTCTTCAAAGAACCCATCATGGTTTGGCATCGATCTTCAATGCAATAATCAGGTCCTTCTTTAATCTCATCTTGGATTAACTTCTTCGATCTCATCTATCTATTATTTCATTTCTTTCTTTGTTTATTTATTTTTTATATCTTTCGCTGGTTTATTTAGATTTAATAACACAAATACATGTTCTTAAGGTTTCAAATTTGCCAAAAGCCCCAACAATCGAAGTGAGAAAGTGTAGAGAGAACTTGCCAATTGAATTGAGAACTTGTCGTCTGAATTGCCGAGGGAAATCAGTAGCTTAATCTCTTCGATTACCAAATTTTTTCTGGTCGTCGCGCTCTTGCCTAAAGCAAGCAATCGAAGACAGTACACCGGTAGCCATCGAAACTCAGAAAAGCAACAATCAGCCATGGGTAGGTTCGACACCTTCTATCCTCGGATCTCTCGGTACAATTAAATCTAAGGTTTCCAATTTTGCACTTCTAATTCTTTATCATGCGTGTTTGATCTGGTTGATTAATGGGTTTGGGGCGAGTATTTATGCAGGAAAGGTTCATGGATCACTGGCTCATGCCGGAAAGGTGAGAGGGCAAATGCCGAAAGTGGCCAAGCAGGACAAGAAGAAGAAGCCCCGTGGTAGGGCTCACAAACGCATGCAATACAATGGATGATTCGTCACCGCCAGTATCATTATCCCTTAATATATGTATATGTTTGTGTATAATTCATATGTATAGCCATAGATGTAGTTATATATATATATATATATATATATATATATATATATATGTGTGTGTGTGTGTAGAAGTATTCTTATAGTGATGCTTATGCTCCTTGAGTTTTATATCTGCTTATTATATGGTTAGCACTCTTTAATAAACCCATAATCACTCTGTTTGGCTGCTAAGAAAACACAGTATAGAGCAAAATATGTTTGTATATACTACTAATGTTAATTTGGCTATTGTTCTTATTAGATTGATAACAAACATCAATGAGGCTTGTTGAAGTACTCTGATGTCCTTATTACTGAAAATTTTGACAGTGAATCTTCATTGTCAAAATTAATTATCTTGGAATTGCTTAATTAATTGATGCATCGTTAACCTTGAACTGGTAAGTAAATGGGCTCTCAATGGAAATAAAGGACTAGGGGAAATCAGCACCCTGCCCCAAGTTATTAGAATATGAGGTTTTTGTTGAGTGATTTTTGTGCAGGCATTTGGTCTTTCGGTGCATTATTGGACATGTATTTGAATAAAATTATGCCATTTAACATTTGAGTTTTAAAGTTGGCAGTAGTCCCAAAATAATTTTCTCAATTCTTGCACAAACTGTTCCTCTAAGGAAGTGCCCACATAGTGAATAGGATTGATATAATAGAGTTCTTGTTGTTCTTCAGTGGATTGAAACTAGAATAGAGTTCTCTCTTTTTTTTCCCCTTTCTGAGTGTAATATATATATATATATATATATATATATATATATATATATTGTTTCCCCCCTAAAGTTACACACACACACACACACGGACATACATTTATATTGTTTTCCCATTTTTTTATTTCACTTTCTACATTGCTTTTGTTGGTGGAACAAAATTTTGGAGTACTTTCATAAAATGAAAGCATTGATTTTAGACAGCAAAGAGATTAATTATTTTATGTTAGGTGGAAATGGAGAAGGATTACAAGAATTTGATGGGGATGCATTTAAATCATGTTGTAATGGATTTAGTTTAGAGGAATTTGATGGAAGCTATTATTCGTCACAGCCATTAGGTATCAATATTTTACTGACAGCCTTGCGGGAATTCATTTGCAAGTGGAATGACATATTTTCACTATTTTTGAATTTGTATATGCCTTAAGGGTTTGATCCAAACTTTACGCAGCATATCCTCAACCCTTGGATGTCTTTATAGTAACTTTTATGCACTAGTGTACTTTCAAAATATTATTCTTACACTTTTTGTGTTAATTACCTATTGCATGCAATCCATTTCAAGGTTGTCTTTAATTATCATGCAATTAGCTTGGAGTTTCGACACAATCAGGGATTCCTTTAACTAGACATATAGGAGTTCTTTACATGGTTTATGTTTAATAATCATTCAAGCAGTAAGGGTTGACTAAATCATTATTTCTGAGTTTGTCTCGAATGATATTTGTGGTCCTGTCATCTCCAGGTTTCTGGGTGCAAACACGTATTTGTGTTCTTCTGTGCTCAAGTATTGCATCTTAGATCAAAGCATTCCTTATATGCAGATTCATTTCAATTTTGGTCACAGTAGTTCATGATTAGTTTATTTATTTCTTGTTATCTGGATTATTCCAAAGCTGTGGAATCCTGTGCTTGACAAGACATAGGGGCTAGCAAGGGATCCATACTAGATTGTTTAATAATTCAGTTTCTGTTATGCATTCTAGATTTTTTCACTATCAAAAGTAGTTTTTATTTTTAATTTAATTTTTTAATTTTAATTTTAATTTTTTATGTTGCAAGTATTTTTTCTTTTCCTTGAAAACAAATATAATTAAAGGAAATGTAGGACAATACACTTATGTAGAACATATATTGGTTAATAAAAATCTAGACAAAAAACATCTAATGAGTTTGCTTAATATGGTCCCCTACTATTGTTAATATATTTAAGAAAATATTTAACTGAAAAAACACACAAACCTCTTCCTTGTAGATACTTTTATTCCATTCTTCTAATACATGTACACAGAACATTAGAGAGAGAGAGAGAGAGAGAGAGAGAGAGAGTCCTATATCTAGATGACTTTTTTACATCTATAACTATAATTGATTTAGCATCCTCTAGAAAGGTAAAAAAATGTTTCTTGGAGAAAACCAAACAGATACTAGATTGGCATAAAACAAACATCCTCATCCTCTTTAAAAAATAAACAATGGAGGACAATATAATCCATGATCTCAATATTTATTCACATGAAACATCTATTTAGAATAACCCAATTCAGTTTATTATCCTGCAAACTTTAGTTCAAGTACAGAAAGGAAACCTTGGACCAAGTAGCATGATGCAAAATATTAACATGCCAGACATGTAATCCACCAAATTTGTTTGTTTATAAGTATGTGTGTGTGTATATATATATATATATATGTATGTATGTATGTATGTATGGAGAGAGAAAGTCTTGATGATGCTGCATGAGCATTGATTCCTATTGAAGGCAAATCTTCATATATCATTATTATCTGGTTGTGTTGAGTGATTGGTATAAAGATCTACCAATGAACTCTCACAGATGATTTTTTCTGACTCTTTTTTGCAGATAAATGGTTCTGGATTTCAAACTCATTAACAGACTCAGTGAATGTAGAAATTACTAATATTGGGAAAGAAAATATCTGAGCAAAAGGGTGAAAAACAAGCAGGTGAGAGAAAATTTTGAAGCTTTTTTATGTTTTTATTTCTTTATTGGGCTGATCAGTAATAGCATAATGAAGTGAAATTTGGTAATCCATGTACCTGTTTATGTTGTTTTCACCATGCTATCTACCTTATAAGTTACTACACTTTAGCTGGAACTTTATTACTACGCCAATTTTAGAGCTATAACTCTTTTTATTTAGAAGCTCGTAAATTCACCTGACATATTTTTCTTTTTCTTTGATTTCTCATGATAGATTTTTGATCATTTGTAAAAGAGTTTCAGGCTAGCTAAAGGCAAATAGTATTTCTTAAGAAAAATATTTTCTTCCAGGGAATTATATGTTTTGGAGTTTAAATTAAAGAAAACTAAGGCATTACGATTAGAAATTGTGATCTTCAAAATTAATTGTCACATGGACTTTAATTATTCCTCATATTTTAAATTTCATGCATGCAATTAATCTCAAAACTTTTTAACTATAATTAAATGTCTGCATATTAAAATTGAACAAGTTATATGTGCGCAACACAAGGCTAGCTGGTTGATGAAAAAACAACGTTACTCTCTCTTTTTACCCCTTATAAATTAGCTCCAATACATGCTTCTTTAAAATCTGGTTCTCCACTTGATTTGATAAACTAGCCCCTGATACCCAATCTATGTGATATATATCGTCTCACATGAAGGTAAAAAATCTAAACTCATTTAAAGCAATGTTTGTGATATATATTTATCTTGTATCTCAATTATCATTTCTAAGACTTATATGTCAATTGCAGGATGAAATGATGGATAAGTGTTTCCAGATTTTTCAAAATTCTGATGGTACGAGTCCAGTGAGAAAAATGATGTTGAGATAGTGCAAAACCAACTAGGTATCAAGAAAGGATATCCCCGTGGGTTCGGACATGGTTTCGTGATTCCAAGCCATCAATGTGCATCCTCATCTTATAAAGTGGGTATCAGCATCCATCACCACCAAACTCTTACCTTCAACAGCTGCCACCACATAATTTTGAGGCTTTCTTATGACTAGCTGATATCTAGTCCATTTGTCTTTGAACTACATATTATGTTGGGCTGTATTTGGATGTCTTTACATTTAGTTTAAAATGATGCTCTGATTTTGAACTTGTTGGAAGAGGTTTAAAGTTTATTTTTATATTCTACATGTCATGCTTTTGATATTTATCTATGGTGCATGTGGTATAATATTTTGTGGGTTACTATGCAGTTATTTCTAGTTAAGAGTTTGAGTTTTTTTTTTTATAAAGAATCTGAGAAATAAAAAATAAATAAAAACATACAAACATTGATGAAAAAAAAAAAAAAGAAGAAAAAAAAAAGGGGGTAATAGGGACGGTTTCTAGTTGTTACAATTGTGATAAAAAAAAAAAATTAAAAAAAAAAAAAAGGTTATTAGGGATGGTAAATATTGTCACGAAAAGTTTACGTATTAGTGATGGTTCTAAAAACTGTCCCTAATATATAACTTATTAGTGACGGTACATTCCGTCCCTAATAACTTTTAGTGACGGGATTATTTGGGACCGTAACAACCGTCACTAAAGACCTATTTTTTTGGTGACGGTCATTTTTTACCGTCACTAAAGATCTTTTGCGCCGCTCTAACTAGTGACAGATGATTTTGATTTTTAGTGACAGTTTAAGGGCTTTTAGTGACGAATTTGACTGTCACTAAAGACCTATTTTCTTGTAGTTGAGAAAAAGTTGTCAAAAATGACTCACGATGATGCAAAAGAGATTTGCCACTCAAGAGGTAACTCAGACAATATACGTAATTGTTGTCCCTTGATATTACTGAATAAATAATGAAATTGTTCTCTCTTGGTTGAAGTATAAGAAGTATGAGTTTTGTCCACTTATATTTGGTTGAAATGGTTATTTGGTACTCTAATAAGGTCATTTGAGTTATTTTCTCTTACTTAAAGGATAGTTTAGGCATTTAAAAAATATTTCATTGATTACCTTTAAGAGTCAGATAAATTTGGACAAACCTCAAGAGTGTAGGGTTATTTTGACAAATCTAGGGGAGTTTGGGTATTTCGCCCTAGTGATTTTAGTGTGCTTGCCACTCATGAAAGTGGGTCCCAATTGGCCGAGGTTGAAACTTTAACCAACCCCATCGTCTAGGCGAACCAAAGAGCGCCAAAAGATGATGTGTCGTAGCAAAATTTTCAACTTTTCGCCTCAACTTTCTTTTGGGACTTTCGTCAAACACCTTCCGATTTCAACGGTCATAAACCTCAACAGAATCAACAGAAAAACCCTAACCACAGCCAGAGTCCTCAACAACCCCCACTTTGAAACCCTAACTCCTATCCAGAAGGAACAGATTCATCTCTACGTCAATTCTCTTCTTCAGTGGAACCAGGTCAATCCACACACACTCTCTCTCTCTATAGGTATATATATGCAGATGGTTTGCATTGTTCCTGAGCTTTTCAATCTGCAGAGGATGAATCTTACTGCTGTTACGGACGAAAGTGAGGTGATGGAAAGGCATGTTGAGGACTCGCTTGCGATTATACCTCCCATTCGGAGCTCATATATCTCGCATTGTGAAGCTTCATGCGAAAACCTCAACCTTGTGGATGTTGGAAGTGGTGCGGGGCTTCCCGGGTTAATTCTGGCAATTGCCTGCCCAAGTAATTCGTCTCAATTCGTTTTATGAAATGTAATACATTATTGTGCTTGTTTGTTTCCCTCTTTGCTTTTGAGAAAAAAAATGTTTACAAATTAATCTGTTAAAATTTGAATTATAAGATAGAATTATTAGTTATTACACATTCAAGACATGTTTGTTTTGTTATTGAGAAAATGTAGTAAATGAGAAGGAGAAATTTTGAATTTTAAAGACTGAGAATAACCCTGGAATACAACTGAATTCGAGTAAAATGAGAGAAAATCAGCTTACAGTTCGCAATATGGAATGAAGACCGGTAAGAGAGGCATTGAGGGTAATGTGAAGGGAGGGGAGGGGAGGGGAGCCCAAAGTTAAGATGGGCTGCTCGGCTTGTAACATAGTACATGATATTCTGTAGCTTGATTGAAATTATGGAGCTTGAAAGTATGCAACATGAAACATGATTTCTGCAGCCAACCCCCAAAATATCATATAAGACTTTGCTGAGTCGATTTGAGTTTGATTATGCTAGAATACAGAAACATATTATTTTGATAAGTTACGCTAAAATACAAAAACTCCACTCTGTTGAGCATAATTGAGTTTTCATTTTCTGCAAACAAAAAAGATAATACAAGACTAGAAAATATGTTCTATTCATTTTTTTTTTCTTCCATTTTATTTCAGCCAAACGAAGTTTATTTTAACTTAGTTGCCTTTGGGATCTATTTGCACTGTCCTGTTGCCGTGTGTACAACTATGTTATAAACAGTATACTTGAACATTGATTCACGATATTAGCTGATGCGTAGGTTGGAAAGTGACACTTTTGGAATCTATGAACAAGCGTTGCATCTTCTTGGAGCATACAATTGGTCTGATCGGTTTGTCAAATGTGCAAGTTGTACGAGAAAGAGCTGAGGTATGCTCTTCCTTCTATCTGCTCTGTAGTTTTCACCTCACTAAGCATGCGATATGTAAGTATCTAATCATTTTTTGCAACACTTGTTTAAAAGATCTCAATTTTGTCCTGACTTCTGATTCTAATTTTAATTGAGAATTTATTAGAAGCTCACCAATAATCTCTGATTAAACTTTGCCAATACAAGCTCACTCTGGTAAACAATAGGTGATTCATCATAGATAAATCAGCTTTCTGAACACGCTAGCGGAGTATGTACGTGAAAGTATGAAGTAATTAGATCGAAATGTTATGTACAGTTAAATAATTATAACATCAATTAGTTGTATCAGTTTCTAGTTTGGGGCCTTTGGGCTCATGCTGAAACCTTTTATTGGCATTAAATGGTAAATGGTTTTGATTTATCTGCCTGTCAAATCGTAACTGATTTCTATAAGTGTATATAGACAGAGGTGCTAAATTCTCCCTTATGAAGCAAGAATTGGCTATGCATTTCTAAGGTGTATTTTTGTCAAAAATTTATTGGTTTTCGACCTTTTGGTTGATTACCACTCAATCTTCCAATGCTTATTTGTAGTTTGATTCAGTGCTTGGCATGTGAACTTCTGTTGATGATAAGGATCAGGAAATGATATTAGTTATGTAACTTTTTCTTTTAATCTCACTTGGTGCATAAACAACAGATTTTGGATACAAGCTTTAGTTGGCAGTGGAATGATGTATGCATCACACACAATGGTTCTGTTGTTAGTGTTGGTAATCGGTGAAATTACCCTTGATTCTAGATCATGATTTCATTGGTTATGATTTCTTTGGGGAGCAATTGCTGGTATTGTACTAAATAAAGCTTTAAGTGATCCTCATCCATAAGGTAATAGAAGTGTAATGTGAGAATATAGTGTATGATCAAAACTGCTCCTTGTGGAGGTTTGGCTTTCAAGGGAATAGTGTTCTCCTTAGCTCTTGTTTTCTCTTTCAGTACAGTAACCCATGGTAAACTTTAGAGGGCCTAAACTTATTACACAACACCATCACAGGGTCTGTACTGGTCTGAAAATAGAAACTATGACATGGTAGTGATGAGGAATTGTAGTTTTGTCTGTTTGGATTGTTATCACAGGATTTGGTTCTTTCTTCATATTTATAGTAGTTATGTTTCTTGGTCAAATACTGAAGCCTTCTATAGGTTACCAGAACTTGGAAGCTGGACAATTTTGGTATATGATTTTTGGTAATTGGTTTTATAGCTTAGGGTCTTTAACCAAAGTAGTTGTTTGACCATCACCATTCAAACAATCAAAAGTACTACGGACCACTAAGAAAACAATATTTTAGAAGTAAAATGTTGGACAACCAACAATAAGCTTGTTCATCAGATTGCACAGCTTTAGCCTGAAATGGATGCCTTCATGTTATTGATTTAATATTTGGTTGAGGCACTGCTGAGTGGATCATTCAATAGTTGCTTGTCCAGACATCCATGTTAGTGGATATAAATATTGAAGTTACACCCTCTATAATAGTTTAAGCATTTAGGGCAGATGGTGGTTAACATGGTATCAGAGCCAAAAGTTTGAAGTTCGAACCTCACCACCACCCTAATAATTAAAATTGAAAACACGTGTTGGATCAAAAGAAGGTCACGTGAGGGGACGTGTTAAGAGGATATAATTATTGAAGTTGCACTCTGTCTAACAACTTAAGCTTTTAGAGTAGATGGTGATTTACAATTGTTTGAATTCATGAGAGAGAGAGAGAGAGAGAGAGAGAGAGAGAGAAATTCTGTATGTATCTTGTATATATCCCACCTAACCCTTAAGCCTACAGTGACTTATATAAAGGAAAACAAATAACCTAATTATACAAGGTTACCTAATTACACAATGATCCTAACAACTATGGGTAATTACATAATGACCCAACATAAATATATATATATACATAAACATTCTAACACTCCCTCTCAAGCTGGAGAATATATATCAAATAATCTCAGCTTGGAACGGATAGTCCTTAACCGGTTACGACCCAATTGTCACGGGCTTAGAGTTTCAGCACCACTCTAGCTACTCCCGTGCGGCACCACGACGTTGCTTTTACTCTTGCAAGTACTTGGTCAGCCTAACTCTCGTGCATACCTTAGCCAACACACTCCCCTCGTGCGCTTACTAGTGTTGTAGTGGCCCTCGCCTTCTCCTCACTTGGCTTGCACACTCACACACACTAAGGCACTTAAGTTGGCAAGGAAAGAACACTTCTATTATTTCAAAGAATGCTTTGTACAAGGCTAGCACTCAAACTCTCTACAAGGCTCACAAGACTCACTCCAGGACTTGTTGCCTACAAAATGAAGTCCTACTTCTATTTATAGGCATCCCCATCCCTAATGGACGGTTAGGATGCATTCCAACCAACGGTGGAGATCGATTCTCTAGATACTTCTCCCACTTTCTTCACACTTCCATACATATCTACAAGTATCTACAATATTTAAGAATTCTCCATACTACTCCACACAATTCTGGAGAACTTTAGAATATACTACACATATCTAGAATCTTCCATACAATTCTAGACAACTCCGGAACACTCTAGAAACTCCACTCGCCATGCAATTGCCATGTAGCGTCCTCCTCAGCGTCTGCATGTCGCCTGCGTGGCACAACCTCCATAGGCGGGGCATGACATTCTCCCCCACCCATTTCCGTGACGCCCTCGTCACGGTTTCTTCAGCTGACCCAGCCTCTCGCAGGTCATCAGCACTTGCGCATATGTCCTTGGCCCAAACGTATGCGCCCCCTTCGGGAGATGTGAGGTCCTCACGAGCTCCATCGTGTTGACTGCCACCTTTGGACTCTCCTTCCTGCCCACAAGCGGCACCATGCATGCAGCCTTGCCTTCTTCGCCTCCAAGTATCATCAACGCACCAAGGCATGGTAGTGGCGTGGTGTTGTTCCTGTCCATGAACTCCAACCCCAGCACCATGTCGTGGTCGTCTATCTCCGCAACCTGGTAGTCGGCCTTGCCCTTCCACCCTTGTATGCATAGCTCCACCTCCTTGCACACTCTGCTCACGCGTGCCTCCTCGGAGTTGACGGCCTTGATCCAGCCCTCCGTCTTGCGCATCTCCAAGCCAAGTCGCTGCTCCTCCTTCGGGGTAATGAAGTTGTGTGTGGCACTCGTGTCCACCAACGCTTGCACGGCTTTGCCACCAACCTGCGCATCCACATAGCGCACCCCGGCTACCTTTTTCGCCTTGCCCTTTTTCTTGGTGTCATGCGCCATGCTACTCAGCATCTGCATAGCCCCCATGCACCTGTCTTCATCGCTGCCCACATCGTCCATCTTGCCCTTGCCCTTATCCTTCACAAAGGCGCTCATGGTCTTCTTGTTGGGGTAGTGTTGCAATATGTGCGGCCCTTTGCACAAGTAGCACTTCGGCGGCTCCCACTTGCCCTTGTCGCGGCGCTCCCCTTTGCCACTAGCCGTGGACCTCTCTCCATGGTCCTTGCCCTTATCATGGCGTGGGCGTCTCTCCTCATCGCTGTGCTCATTATCACTAGACTTGGGCGAGCCCCCTTTCTTGAAGCACCGGTCTCCCCTACCTTTGCCATGGTCCCTCCTGGGAGACGTGGCCCTATTGTCATCACACCTAAAGTCTTCAAGGCACTCCGCTATAGCCATTGCTGATGCCAAGTCTCTAGGCTCCCTCCTTCTCAGCTCTGTGGCTACCCAAGACTGCAACCCATCAATGAACAAGCACACGCGTTGCCACTCCGGCATTCTGGGATCTCTAGCATCAAGTTGGAGTACTCCTTCACATACTCCCTTATGCTGTCCTTCTGCTTCAGGCGCCTTAGGTTGATCATGGCGAGGTCCTCGACGTACTCAGGGTAAAACTGCCTCTTGAGCTGCCTCTTGAACTCCTCCGATGTGTCAACCCCTCTTGCGCCTCTACCGGTGAAGCGCTGCCTCCACCATAGAGTGGCAGTGTCCGTGAGGTACATGGTGCCTGTCTACACCTTCTCCTCATCATCCTCGATCTCCATGCACTCGAAGTACCGCTCCATGTGCCAGAAGAAGTTGTCAATCTGGCGCGCATTCCTTGCCCCATCATACTCCTTGGGCTCTGGCGCCTTCTTCTTCCTTGGCTTCACCACGACCTCGCGCACCTGGAAGAACTCCTTCTTGCACTCGGCAATCTCCACGCTCAAGTCGTCTACCCGATTATGCAAGTCCCTTTCCTTCTCTCGTGCCTTGTTGGCGATGCCATCAATCAACTCGTAGAGCTCCGCCGTCCTTCTCTCGAGCCTGTTAAATTTGGTCTTCGTGTAGACCAAGTGTGTGGCAAGCTTCTCCTCCAAGCTCTGCTCCAAGACGTGGACTTGGTGGTCTCCTCCGCTAGCCATGTCTACTCCAACAAAGCCCCTTTGACGAACTTGCTTTGATACCAACTGTCACGGGCTTAGAGTTTCAGCATCACTCTAGCTACTCCCGTGCGGCACCACGACGTTGCTTCTACTCTTGCAAGTGCTTGGTCAGCCTAACTCCCGTGCATACCTTAGCCAACACACTCCTCTCGTGCGCTTACTAGTGTTGTAGTGGCCCTCGCCCTCTCCTCACTTGGCTTGCACACTCACACACACTAAGGCACTTAAGTTGGCAAGGAAATAACACTTCTATTACTTCAAAGAATGCTTTGTACAAGGCTAGCACTCAAACTCTCTACAAGGCTCACTCCAGGACTTGTTGCCTACAAAATGAAGTCCTACTCCTATTTACAGGCATCCCCATCCCTAATGGACGGTTAGGATGCATTCCAACCAATGGTGGAGATCGATTCTCTAGAATCTTCTCCCACCTTCTTCACACTTCCATACATATCTACAAGTATCTACAATATTTAAGAATTCTCCATACTACTCCACACAATTCTTGAGAATTCTAGAATATACTACACATATCTAGAATCTTCCATACAACTCTAGACAACTCCGGAA